CATTCATACTTGCATTTGCAGGGAGGTAGAATCGAACTTCGAAGTTCAAGAACTTTATACGATGTCTAATTTTACCGTATTTTTTATAACTTACATATTTTAATGACCAAATATTTGTTTTTATTATTATTTTTTTATAAACTGTGGAAGTTCCGAATCTTTGCCTTATAATCTCCTTAGTATCCGGAAGTCGTATTTGGATATTCCAATTTAAAAAATAACCCTCTGTACTAAAGGGAGTTTGAACCCGGAGCACAAAAAAATTAAGTTTCTTTGTGTTACCACTAAGCCACCACACCTTTAGTGATTACCAAAAATTACCACATAATTTATGTTCCCATGGCTAGGTAACGCACTGTTCAGCTGGATTTAGCGAGACTTATATATAAAGATGCGAAATTTATCTTAAGATTCTTAACCGTAAAACCAAAAATAAAAAGAAAAAAATAACGGAAATTTTGTCGACGCCAATCCAAAACATTCGAGACTCACATAATTCTCGCATTACACTTGCATCTAAGCAAAGAAAATAGCAATATTACAAAACAAATTAAAAACAAAAAGCAAACCAAGAAAAAGCCTAGAACTCTAGAAGTGTTATGATTCAGATTTCAAGAAGAATCGCAAAAGGTAAAGATCCTTGGCACGTGATTTACAGCTTTTTAGTTAACAAATCTTACTAGTCACTAGTTACTACTGACTTGTAGTCCCACCGCACGTGTCCTCAGACAAACACGGCGAGGACTCCGCCGCAGAATTGATTCCGTCATTGCACGGCGACGTCTCGGAGCCACCACCACCACCACGTATCTCCTCTATCATCTTCGCCACATGACTCATCTTCGGGCGATGATCCGCCGCCACAGCCGTGCAAGCCAAAGCAATCTGCAGCAGCCCCACCATCTCCTCCTCTATATCTTTATACCTCATCAGCTCAAGATCGAACACTTCAGCCGTCCACTCCTCTCTCACCACCGATTGGACCCACTTCGGCAAATCCATTGCACCGCCCGATTGACCGGTCTCCACGAGATTAGGACATTTCCCAGTGAGGATCTCCAGAAGGAGCACTCCGAATGAGTAAACATCCGATTTTTGGGTTGGTCTACGGCCGTCGATCAACTCCGGCGCACGGTATCCATTCGATTTAGCAGTGATTTGCGATGGCGCGAATATAGAGAGGCCGAAATCGGAGACTCGAGCAATGCCGGATCCGTCGAGGAGGACGTTAGTGGATTTGACGTCGCCGTGAGTGAGCTTCAAGGTTTTACAAGAGCCGTGGATGAAAGCTAAGCCACGAGCCGCCCCTACTGCGATCTTAAGGCGCGTAGTCCAGTCCAGTGGGGTACGTCCTGGTCCACGGTTTCCTGCACCAGGCGTGTCCAAAACCAATCAGACACATGTATATTACAAATTTGCCACTTACCTCGAAAGGTGTAATCAAATTAGTCGCTTTATTAGTTACCAAAAGAATGAATGTGAATTATAAAAAAAACAAACGGTTACGTGGAAGAGACAAAACACAAGAAAGCGATTAAATGAGGCAGATCAGAACTTTATTTGTCAACTATCCATGGAGTAAAATTCTCATTATCTATTTAGTAAAATCATAAATTTCTGCATGAACATGATTTTTCTATAGTTTAATGTTGATAAAATACGAAATCTCACTAAGTCCAAAAATTAACCCTACTACTGTTATGACTTTTGGCGTTACACTAACGTCATTTCCTTCCAAGTACCAGGAATTAAGAATCACCTGTTTTGGCCCACACAAAGATCCTTATCATCATATTTTCCATAATTTCTCCTCCTATGGAAACATAAACCTAAAGCCAACATTTGGTAACAATAATTCTCTACCTAAATCGTGATTAATTTTCCACAATTGGTAACAACAATTCAATATAATTTGTAAAGAGTTGAAAACGACGACGTACCATGGAGAAGCCAGAAGAGGCTACCATTAGACATGTATTCATAGACAAGAAGCTTCTCTTCTCTAGCAAAGTAATAAGCTTTCAAGCTCACTACATTAGAGTGACGTAGCCTTCCTAAAACCTCCATCTGTTGCTCAAACTCTTTCTTTCCGACCACCGTCACGGCGTCTTTCAACCTTTTCACGGCGACTTCGTTCCCGTCATCAAGCACCGCCTTGTACGCAGTCCCGAACCCGCCTTTCCCTAACATCTCCGCCGATGCTCGGAGAAGATCTTCAAGCTCAAACCGTCTCGTTCCTTCGAAAAAGACCATTCTACCCCTCTCACCACC